TCGCACCCCGCCCGCGGCTTCCCCGCCCCGGGGCGGGCTCCCGGCGACGGCGGCGGGGAGCGCGCGGGAGGCCGGCGATCCGCCGGGAGAGCGACCGGGGCCGCCTGATGGGCCTGGCCGGGCCAGCGGCCCTTAGGCAGGCCGGGCCGGGCCGAGGTGCCTCGCGTCCCTGGCGTCCCAGGGTCGGTCCTTCGGCCCCGACCTCCCTTCTCAGATGGTCGCAGAATCAAGTTAAACTCGGACCGGGACTCCTGCGGCGGCCGCCGCTCCTCTTTGTTGTTGTGGAGTAGTTTCTCCGTCGTCCGCCCGGGCCGAGCGCGTTGGGTCGGTGGGAGTGTATTGCTTTAGGTGTCTAAATGCGAATTGTATTATAAATGGCTTGTCGTAATTCCTTTTCTCAAACAAATTTTTGTTTTCTCTTTGCCCCTTATTTTCTCTACCTAGTTTATTTCTGGCTTTGATTTGTTTACTTTTTGAGTATTGTGGGTGATGGCGATATGCGGGAAACAATCTTAGCACCTAACTGACCCCTCCCCCAATTAAAAAAAAAAAGACATCGTTTATCTTTCTGCTAGGACTACAAGTACTGGGTGTGAAATTAGTGTAGGGTGGAGGGCGGTGGCTCCATCACTTATCCAAACTAGATTTTCAAAGAAATGGGTGTGTGTGTTTAGCTAACTTGAAAGGTTTCTTTTGCGGGTATAGAGACGTTTTAAAAAGCCCTATTGAAGATTAATAGCTACTTCCTTCTGAAACCCTAGTGAATTTTAAAAATGAATATATTTATTTCTGATCATTTTGAATTTAGTTTCTAAATGCCTTTAGTTTTTGCACCATAATTTAAGGTGAAATTGCCAGTTATTTAGGGATAATAAATATAAGATAATGTGGAGACATTTTAATTAACTCTGAATTGGCTTCCAAAGGCATGTAGTCTTGGCTAATTTTTGTTAGCAGCCTTTGACTTTTGACAGAATTAGCATCCTTTTAATCTCAGTAGCAGTTTGATTATTCCGGGAGTTTAAAAAGTAGGTTCAGTACTTTTGCTGGAAGAAACCATTTAGTCTTAATAGAAAATTGAGAAATACGTACTTTCAATAAATAATTTGATTTGAAACATTGTTTTCAAATAAGTTTTATTGTGGGTTTCATAAATTGCTGTTGCTATGTCATAGCAGACTAAATATATTTCAATTGAAATATAACATACGAAGTTGTAAATGTGTAACTTTTCGTTTTCTGCTGGGGTTAACTTTGGGAAAGTTAGTACATGACATTTCAAGTTGTAAATGATTTGAGACAGTTAACATTTTGAAATGATTTCTTATTAATGTTTTTTCCATAACGTCATGATTTTTGCTTTCTTATTTGGGTTTATTACAGAACAAATGTACGCAAGTCACACATTTAAGATTTGGAGTATCTTTAGATCTAAAGGTGGTGATGAATTATGTAGGTTTAAGTTGTTGGACTTAAAACTAAAAGCTTTCTAGACAAAATTGATATATCAGTTTGTGAGTCTATTAATAGAAGTGGATTTTTTGTTTGTTTGTTTGTTTGTTTGTTTGTTTTCCAGGTTTTGTGGAAGGTTGCTTTAAAAAGGGGTATTGCATCTTAATTGTTTTATTTTTCAGTGGGAGTGCCTAAGTAGAAAGTTCTTTTGTTCAACTGAGTGCCTTCATTTTAAACCTTGAGCTTAAAAAAACAACTTCAATTTGGTTTCAGATTTAATGAAAATTTGTGCTGAGAGCGTCACTTTGAAATTGTTTGGAATAAGTTTTATATGAATCGTTGACCTTTTCTGATGGCTTTGTTACTTGAAGCAATTCTGCTTATACAAGGAAGCAGCAAATCTTATTTCTAAAAACCTGTGCTTCACTTCTGCAGCTACATTGTAGTTATTTCTCCATTTATATGTGAATTCTTTTTCCTGCATTCCTCTTCAGATTTTTCTCCCCAAAAAATTACAGAGAAAATATAAAACTAATTTATGCTGCCCAGTCACACTTCAGCTTGGAAGCCTGGAAGCTGTTTTTTCCCTGAGTGAGCTGGTGTTATAGTAACATCATTAGACACTATTCTAATTGAGCTGTGAGTTCCTGAGCCTTCTACTAGGGCAGTTAACCCTACAGGATCTGCCACCTTCATTATATTTAAAATGTATATTTAGTGTTGCCTAAAATTTTGCCTCTTTTGGTGAGAACGTCTCATACATTGTTTTTCTTATGTTTAAACTTATTTCTGTTCTATTTTCCTCTCTATAGCTCAGCCTAACTTTTTTCTGTTTTTCTTTCAGAAAATTTTTCATTCTGATTTTAGAGTGAATGGTTTTTTAAACATCTTATGTTAGCCATTTCAGTGCTCGTTGTACATGTTTGGATTTCTTTTTTTTTTTTCCTTAGAAGATTGTGTAGTTAGGCAGAGTTTTGTTTTGTTTTGCTTAAGTGATGATTAAAGGTGACTCTGAGGTAATGTTTAATCATGTATAAAACTAACTGGTTTCAATGATTTCATTATTTTCTACACTAAATGAAAAAGTTGAAGGTGGTAGATCAGCATACACAGAATTTAATACAAGTTTGTGAAATTATAAAAGTTTCGGTTTTTTGCTCAACAGTTGATGAAGATTCAGTTGGTTTAAAAAGAAATTCAAACACTTGACGAATATGTCTAGATATTCATTTGAGTGACTTTCAGGATGATACTGTTTGCATCATAATATGCCAAAACGTTTGCTTGATAATGAGTCAGATTTAGAATTTTTGGATTCTTTTCTCATTCTAAAATGTGTAATTTTGGTGATGGGAAATGTGGCTGGATTTCACTTTCTCAGGAACAAGGTATTTTAGGTTGTGTCACCTTGACACCATTATGTATGTGATTGGCATCCAGGAAAATTTATTTTAATCATGAGACTGGATAAAAATGAGGGTAGTGCTTACCTGTGTAAAACTAGGATAATAGATGGTCAAAACCTTATCATTTAAGTCTCGATTATTTGCTGCTGCAAATTATATCAGGTAAGATAGAAAGCTACCAGAGACTGTAAAGAGTGCCTATTGTTGCATCTTAAATTCAAGTTGGTGATAATTGTAAATACCTTTACGGTCAAGAACTATATTATTTACATTTTAAATAAGAATTATTTGCAGTTTGGAAAACTTGTAACTATGGACTTCATCTTTTTATTGTCTTTTTACGCCCAAGGTTTAGGGCAGTGGTTCTCAACCTTGGCTGCACTTAGAAATCCCTTGGGGAGCTTTACAAAACACTGATGGCTGGATTTCACCCCTAGAAATTGTTCTTCAGTTGGCTTCTGTGTGCAGTCAGGTAGGAGTTCTGAAGTGGTTGAGCTATTAGGGTCCTCTAAGTTTTTTTTTTTTTTTTTTTAAACTTTTACTTATGTCAGCTTTCCCTTCTTTAATGCAGTGATATGCATATGCACAATATAATCATCTCACATCTAACTTAATGGGTCTCCTGGAGGTATTGCCACATTTGTTTTGCTTCCAAGTCCGTTCCTTCATCTGTCCTTCTATCCCCTTTTCTCTCCTCTTCGTTTTTCAATTTGTTGGAACCGTCTGGTAGGTAGCAAGTTGAGGACGCTATATTTCCCGTGATGATATATCATCTCAATTGGTGTATCATCACTATTCTAACTAGGAAGCCGAATTTTAAAGTACTCTAAAATGCTCACTTAGGCTCCTTTTAAATACTAGTGACTTTGTTTAGGTACCAAAATTAGCATCCAAACTCCCAAAGGAACTTAGTCTTCAGAGAGGGTTAATCTGCTTGGAAACCATAAAATTTTCTAGGCACCAGTTAACTGATCACTTCATGGGTTCCTGAGATGCAGGTTGCATTGATTTAGCTTTTGCTGTCAGAGTTTAACTTAAACACTGTGAGAAAGTTGCTCAACAAGCCCAACTGGTTGGTAGTTCTTTTATGTGGGCATGTTCAATTCTCCATCTCCATCACCCAAAGCGCCAGTCTAAGAGTAGTTATATCTCCGTCTCTGGAAGAGCCTTTTTTAAAAAATAAAATATTGTTTTCCCCCTCCCCACCCCAACACACACAGATTCAGAATGGGAATGGAGTGGAGGGAGCATGAGAATCTGTATTATAAAAAAAGTACTCATTGATTTTAAATGCTTTGAATATTTTAGTATGCTTATCCTATTGCTTCATTTGTTTTAATACAGTACAAGTTTTATTTTACAATCATGGGTGTACTGGAGTTATTTACTTAAAATTTATCAAACTCCAATTTGCATGTTTAGAATGCAGATCTTATTTATGATTTGAAAAAATGGACTGCTACTGAATATTTGTCTTTGTGTAAGGTATGATTTCCATATCTTAATGTGGATGAATGTATTAATATATGCAGTTCAGGTCTTTCAAGTCAAATGTATTTCTAAATGTAAAACTGAATTAATGTTATTTATCGGTGGTATTCACTAGTGAATTCTAGAGCATTTGATATCAATAGATGGCCAGCCATTGTAATTGAATCACCTGAGAAAAGGATAACTGGAAATAATACTTAATGGGGTACGATAAACCAGGAACCATTGTACATAAGCACCCTAGTAGGTGCATGTCTGCCATAGATATCTTTTAATAAAATTAATTGAAGGAAGAATTGTATGTGTTTTGATGTGCAGGTGGCTGATAGTAAACTGACATAATTTCCATGTAATTAGGCTTTTTATCAGTTGCATATATTCACAATATTATAATTTGTTTCACTATCTTTTTGGTAATTTGTAAAGTGAAGTGTGTAAAACTGACAACACCTCAGACTCCTAGAGTGCTTTTTAAATGTAGGGCCCCACTCCTGATATGTATTTAGTAGGGCGGGGCTCACCTGAAGAGGGCTCTGAGACAGCCCCTTTTGAAAGAATAAATTAGATGACTTGATAGTCTCCTTCATTTAAAAGGTTTTATGACATGTATTTTTCAGTTGTCAGTTATTAAAATTCACCTTAGTTTCCAGTTTTCTAAAACAGTGTTTCCCAAAGTGTATCCCACAGACTCTTGGGGTACCCCATGACCCTTTTCTTTTAGGGGGTTCATGAAGTCAATTATTTTCATACTAAAACTGAAATGTTATTTGCCCTTTTACTGTGTGACATTTGCACTGATGGTGAAGAAGCAGTGGTGGATAAACCACTGGTACCATAGTATGAATCAAGGCAGTGGCACCAAACTCGAACAATCTTCATTGTTCTTCACAGCCAAACACACATCTTAAGCGTTAGAAAAAACAAATGCCAGTTTCACTTAAGAATATCCTTGGTTAGGGCCGGCCGAGTGGCTCA